CACTGGCTGATCTAAGGTCAGAACCTGAACTCACAAGGTTCATGTGCGCGCACTAGGTTATAGTGCCTCGTATACCCTAAGGTTCGATAGTGAATCACTATATTCAAAACTATTGTAGAAAGATATGGGGCTGTTATGGGTAACCTAAGGCTCACCTAAGGCACTAGCCTTTTGAGAACTGGATGAAGTCCGTGCAAACAGGCTGGTCTGAGGTTAGGACCAGACTTAGATGGTCCCTGTGCGGGCTTGCTTGCACAGGTTATAGTATCCATCCCGCATAACCAAGGGGTTGACAGGGAGGGTCACTTTAAACAAAATTTATGTCGAAAGATATGGGGCTGTTATGGGTAGGCGTGTTACTTGCAACCAGAGGCCCACGACTTACTTGTTCGCCCGTCACTTATTATCACATAAAAAAAAAGGAATGGAGCACTCATCTCCATAACTATGACTCTTTCTTGTCATGGAGATTGGAATGCTTATATCGTGGAATGACGGCGCATTTGCCTTACAGCGGGTTGGGTGTCACGTATCTACGAAATGTAGGCTTTCTCCAAATTGCATGCTTGTCTTTCTAAATTAAGAATAGTACAAAAATAGGTAAAAGCCTACTAAAGAGACAAAATATTTGTTTTGCTCATTCTACAACAAACTTTATTTACTTCATTCTCGTCATTTGTTGACGTGTGTGTATTCAAGTGAAAGGTCAATCATATTTATGTTTTATTTTATATATACATAATATCATCAATTGATATTGTGTTTATCGAATTATATGTGTTGTTTTATTACACAGCTGTGCTGCGTGAAGTACCTAATAGAATGGCCAACAGTTTTGTCGACTTTTTTGTAAGATATACATCTGTCTAATGCTTTATTTAAAAGAATAACATAACTTGGATATAAGAAATGAAAATACATACATATTTTTTCCCAAATGGGACCTAGTAAATAAATAATGGCTTTAAGGCGAAGGACAACTCGGTGGCAGTTACCGTCTTTCCAGAGTTGCCAGTTTAACTACTATTTTTCCTAATTATGCAATTTTTTTATGAACAATCACACCAGTAGTAACAGGAGTTGAAACGGCGTCACTATATAAAGACGTATTGATAATTAGTAGAATTACTTTTATAAATAGCTACAATTAAATGAAAGAAGGACGTCCACCATTTACGTGAACATTCTGCAGTTAGTAAAGTAAAAAATATTGAGTTTTGCCCAGATATGAACTTTATAATTTGGGATTTAGTGTATGAGCTTCCTGCTATTTTTTAAGCATATTTAATTTATATAATAATAATAATATATGTTCATAATAAAAAAATATATAGCAACACTCATAATTTTCGGGAGTTTTGCTGGCGTCGATCTATACGGGCTTACTGAAAATCAGCGCTGCTGTGGTAGGATACTGCAAGCTTAGTATTATGACGAGATATGTCTATGAGTCCCGTATTGGCATGACGCTACGACACAGAGTATAGTATAATATCTACTTTCTCTCTTTGCACTGATTTTAATTGTAATTGTATGTCTAAATAATTATTTGCATGTACACCGTTTGTAGTGTGGTTCTGTGTTGTTATATTCGTGTGTTAAAATTTTCAAAAGTTCCAATCTAAGTGATCGAGACACACAAGACAACACAGACAGTGTTTAAGTTGACATTTCTACGCGTGTTTAGGCACTTACCATGATTGCATAATGCTGTTTTGAAACTAGAAGGCGTGCACTTATCTTGACTTATCGTTCTATACTAATGAATGAGGAAAATAAATTGTTGAATTACAATAAGTTACTGAAATAGGTACGAATATTATCAGGGCTTAGTAAATAATTACTAACTTTGACAAACCAGTCGTGTGTATGTGTCAAGTTTCAGCTAGTTTCCCTCCTTGTTCTTACAATTCGAATTTGAAAAAAAATCTTATCTGTACTTACAAATCAAATTAACAATGTATCAAAATATTTTCTCTGTTCTATCAAACAATTTGCTCTACACAAAAAATAATCATTAGTTGTAATTAATCAAAAGTGACAAAAGTTCAAGTTGACAAAAATTCCTCATTTTATTTATTTATACAACAAAACAATCCTTTCTGTAGACTAGAGCTTTACGCTTTTAATTCTAAATTATTTTGAAAGTATTTCAAGATTAAATAGGTACTGCTGAGAACTGTTAATATGAAACAATCAAATTCTTAAGTTTTCGACATTGCTGTACATTGGAAATATAGTAGATTGTACAGCATGTGCATATAACGCGTCATTTTACCTGAGACGAGTGTGGCGAGAGTGGATACTTAAGTCGAGGGTAAAATGGGTTTTGTGAACGAGTTATACACTCTGCTTTTCACTTCGATTGCAAGGAAATTAAACAGCAATATTACAAATAAACGATTATTTAATTAAAATTGAATGTAAAATTACAACAATTAGACGTATTTTTAATGTGATAGTTTTTTATTTTATGCACTAGAGCATAAAATCCTATTTTATGCACTAGAGCAAAAAATCCTATTTTATGCACTAGAGCATAAAATCCTGTTTTATGCAGCCTACACTTAGCATAAATGCGGACTTTAAGAGCATGAGAAGTGAAAAAACTATTTTTCACCTCACTAGCTCGAAGTGTGAAGTAAAGCACTACTGACTTTCTTTCTCATTAGAAATCTGCGCGCAAGAGCGTTTTGTCCACGCAAAAGATTTTTGAATAACATTTCGGCAAAGGTTTTCTAAATTCGAACTTGACGATGGATTAGCATCTAACAGTCTGTTCGATGGACTGTGGTGCACCTAACTTTCTCCTTCGATGAAAAAGAAAAAGATAATGGCACGTTCAATTAAGCGATTTGTCGTACATTACTTATTTATGTAACATAAATCCGTTGGTATTTTTTATTCTTATTATTGTTGACATTAAACTGACAATGATAACTAATTGTGTTTATTAAATTGTTTTAATTCGTCGAAGAACTAAAATAATTTCAATAATCACTTAATCACACAAAATAAAACTACAAGCAAGAATAAAAATTGATGTGGTGTAAATTCAGAACACAACCAAAGATAAACAAAACCTTTTCATTAAAAAAGGTTTTATAGTTCAACTGTTTTTCTTTCATCTACCATTTCCCTCGCTATAGTGTAATGGAACGTTGTGTGTTTCGCTCGGCAGCAAAGTTGTTTTGCGTCTCGTGTCTTGAAACCCTCGCCACGTTCAAGAATCTATATTTGAACTTTCAATCTTAGCTCCTAAGCTTGCTCGGGTTTCAATACAAGCATTCCCCCCAAACAACAACTTTGCAGCCTTGCATGACATATAACTATTATTGCACATTAAAAATGACAAATATTTCATTCTTTATTACTTTTCAAAAATTTTAGCTACTATCTTACTTAAATATTAATATAAAAAAAAAATAATAATAAAAATGCTCAGCACCTAGAGTCGTAAAGTCAGGTTTCATTTCCTTTTTTAAATTTTGACTAAGCCACACTAATTTCGACATACGGGCACTTTAGGGGGTACACACTCAGTTTTTGTCCAACCCGGAAGTTGACTTTGCGACCATTTGTTTTTGGTGTCGTCTTTTTCTTGTGACGAAGCTGTGCACTGTTTTTGTTTCCTATCACTTTGACCTTACATTTTATTATAATTTATACTTCATGTTTAAATGAACGTTAATTGTTATATCTAGAACTTAAAACCAATAAACCCAAAAATTATTTAAACGACCACAAACTACAAAATTTTGAATCGTTATCTCAAGAATCGGGTAATCTGATTAATGATTTATTGAGTTCACATACGTAGTCAAGCTGCATAACAGGTGTCAAAATGCACCTATTCGACTATGGGGATGCTAACGGTCTTTTGTTTTTTTCTTCTGAATGCATATGGATGTCGGTTGGGAATTTAAACATTTTAAGTTACGTCTAAATCTGTTTTTTTTTTATTTCACAGTTAAAAATCGCTAACACATACTATTGCTACAATTAACACTCAAACTTATATATGACATTAATCAGTTCGTCAGATAATATATCATACATAATTCTTTTTTCTTTCGAGCATGCCATTCGTATACGCGACTGCTGTAATGAATAGGTCACTTTTAATATAATGATATTAATCAATTTCTTGTCTAATTGATGAGGAATGTTCGTGAATTTACTCAATTGGAATCATATATTTCGGTAGATATAGTTTAATCCCACAATGAGTTATGTCAGGTGAAATTGACAAATCGGATATTTTAGTTACGATGTTAGATTATCAAAATGTTCTAATCTACAGATCGATCGATTTCAACTGGCGATCACCACTATTTCAGGAAAAAAAAATTGTGCTATATACAATATTTAAGTAGACGTAGTCTTTAAATAAGTTTACGACATTTTATTTATTATAGATAATTCATCTTTTTTTTTTCCTCGATTTTGTCATTACTTTTGGCTAAATGTTTATATTATGTTGTCATAAATTACGATTATCAATTGAATTTTATTTTTAATTATGTCTAGTGACGGGACGAACAAATCATCAACCATGATATGCTACTCGCCTGTCCATAACAGTTGTAATGCCACTCAGAGCTATAAATCGCAAAATCCTGAGCGCCCGTCAACCTGAGCCATAGGTTATGACCCATGTGCTGTAATTTCACAAGAATCTTGAAAACCGGAACACAGTAATGCTGACAGTAGGTACTGCTAGCCGGCAGAAATAGGTAAGGTAGCAGTACTACCCTGCGCACGATCTCTTTCACAAGAAGCTCGGCTGCTACTAAATGTCTTTTACCTTATACATTTTACTTTTGAAAGATCGATATTATGTCGATAACAGTAATTCTGCGTACCAGCTGTTTAGGTTAAGGCTGATCAAAAGAAAACGCCACGGAGTCGCTTTGTTAGGGCGTAAAAGCGACCCTTTTTCAAGGGTCTAAGCCGTTATAGGCAATCAAAGTTTTTACAGGCGCAAGGTACACAACAGGACAACCCGCAATTAAAACAAGGACAAAGTTAATTCTTTCAAAGCCTCAGTCTGTAAAGAAATTAGCAAATGCCCCGCAGTGTTTTAGCCAACGTTGAGATCACTAATTGTAAATGACTGACATCACAGACCTTTTGTCGGTGTGCCAGATGTCACTTGAATAACGCCGATACCTTGGCACTGATAAAGACCCGGAGGATGGTGTTATTGAGTACTACATTTCGGGATAATATAATAACAATTAATACAATTACAGCACATACCCATGTGTGACATAGTCTCTAATTACGTTACCTTTATAAATTACTCAGCAATTCAATTTGCGGGCACTGGACACGAGCGTTCGGTTAGTGGATTACTTAAAATTAATGTGGCAAAATATCATGGTGGCAGGTTGTTGTGGTGAGGATTGTTTACAAACATGTTAAACCTATTTTTGGAGCTAGATCTCTGGATCTAATTTGTAACATTGTGATTACAAGACTTGCGTCCTGTCTCAAAGTAATAATCTCTTTTATGAAAAAAAGATCAACCTCAAAAGTTCGTGGAATTACATCTATTATTCTAATTAGCCAAATTTTGTTGAAATCGGTTAACGAAAAAGACGCGAAACCGGATGCAACCCCTAGTTTCACCCTTAGGGGTGAAATATTTTCTTCAAATTCAAATGAGAGAGAAATATATATTTTATTTTTTATCTCACAATAAAAGAAAATGCAATATGCGTGGGTTATTTAATTGTAAATTGGTACTAAAATTTGTTAAAAAAATTATTAGTTAATAATTAATATTAATTTTAATTAATTGGTAAAAAAATTGGTACTATATTGATAGTACCAATCATTTTGTACGTCGAACAAAATAATACGTCTGCATGTACTTGCGGCTTTGTAAGTAAAGTTGCGGCAAAATTGCTAACTCTTTTTCAACAAAATACATGAGTTTCGACTAAAGAAAAATTAATTTTAGTGTAATTTAGAGAGTCTCATAACAATAACATGAAAGTTAAGCAGAAATAAATAACAAATCTAAAATTTTCACACCTTTTTACTCGTAAAACCGCAAGTACCTGCAGATGGATTATTTTTTTCTTGATAGAGAATGATTGGACCTATATTGCAAATAAACCACACACATTACATTTTCCTATATTTCGAGATAAAAAATAAAATGTTTATTACTCCATATAAAAAAAATAATTAATTTTTTGTCCTGAAACTATCAAAAAATTAGCTCGATACTCCACAAGTTATTTCTATGTCCAAGAATTATCAATTTGGGCCCACTGTGCGGCGGCCGGTTGGCGGTCGCGCGGCGACCGCGCGGGTTAGTTTAAATTCCGAGGAATTAAAATGTTGTTGTCTAGTAAATGGAATTCAGATTCACGATTAATGTACCTACATAAACGCGTGGTAACTGGGCACGACACGCGAAACTTTCGCCTCGTTTAAGCTTTGAGTGGCACTGCAACTGTCGCTTACTACCTAGAGCACGATTTGTTCGCCCCGGCGTCGCTTGTCATCATAAAAAATCTAAAAATACTTAAAAAAGCTCGAGTTGGGTAAATGCAAGAAGTTACAAAAGAAATTATAAAGCGATATGTTTTAGTGAGGTTTTTCGGAATATTAAAGATTGATTTACATTTCACAGGTTTAGTAAGTAGTTTTCTGTTTTTCGATTAGAAGGAAACTTATTTTATTATCTATACACATTGACCTCTATACATTTGTGA